GCCCTGAAGATGATCTCAATAAAGATCGAAACGTTGGCACGATAAAGAAAATGTTTTTCTGAAACCTACATCACTCCAGACCGCATCTCACGATTTCTGAATAATTAAGTTTGAAGAAATGTTAAATTCTTATCTTTTTTTGTCCTTATGGATTTTTATTAAATGCTCCTTAAGCTTGGAAGGTTTCTTTGAATCATTTGACATTATTACATAGAAGACATAGGTAAAGTACTATTTCCTGATAATAAAATAAAGCCATATTTCAAATATTAACGTAGTATTGTCAGCATTTTTTCTTCGGCTCGCCCGTACTGTTGTCTGTTAAAAAGGGAATGATATAAGAAAATGTATATATCAAAAGTTTTATTTGCAACAAACCACTGTTACTGCGTAACACAGAAAACAAACACCTTTGTGAGTTCAAATACTTCGATTGAATCTAAAATTTCTAACATTGCATAAATGCATTTGTAAAATTTAAACAATGTTTATAAATCCCAGGCCCTGAAGATGATGTCAATAAAGATTGAAACGTGCCACGATAAAGAAAATGTTTTTCTAAGACCTACGTCACACCAGACCGTATCTCACGATCTCAAAAGAATCTTTTTCTTATTCGTTAGCACGGTTACAGTTACAAGTTACGGCAGTTACTTAGTCGTACTAGTTACTGCTTATCTTATGAGTTCTCTTACTCGTTACCGAGTATTACAATACTGCTAACTTCCATAATAATAAAAATGGATCACAATTTTATTGTTTTTTATTAAGCCTCGCGCGGACCACCTTGACGTTCAGGGTCAAATTTTGGTTTTTCACGGACCCCCTGAATGATACCGGGTAGGGACCACTTTGGGAATCACGGCGCTAGAGTTATTATTGGACCTGATTCCAAACCTAAAGGTCCAAATTTTATATTTTCTTGGAACAAAACAGTTTTTTAAAAAATGGGCTAAGTCTGGGCAAAACAACACCGTTTGACGGTAGTGCCTTTACAGCTGCTTGACTGCACGAAAAAATGCAAATCCGTGCACCTTTTATTTGATTTTTTATCAACTCTTGTGCAAATTCCCTGACACAGAATTATAAACACCCTCTTTTATAATTATAAAGTAATGACTAATATGATTGATAGATTATAGTAGCTAAGCTAGTAGACTTGAGCAGACAACCACGGTATCTGTCAGGCTAAATTTGGTTTAAATCCTTTTTTCTCCAAAATATGATATAAATCAGCACGATCTAACTTCGTCAGTGAGAGGTTTTCCTCTGTTAACTAATACATTAGTTACAATATGGGCTTCTTTACAAGATTGCATATCAGAAAGCTGATCCCCCCCGTGTAAGCAAGCTTCTTATGTGCTCCTCTTCAGTTGGATTGCATGGACCTCAGCTTGGAATATAGCTGTAAACTGTCCAATGGATCCGAGTGAAGAACTTAAGCTTTAACTCTTGTTCTCAGGTTTTTAAATTGTAGGACTTGGATACGGTTTGTCGTATAGATCAATTAAGTACGTCCATGTAGTATCACTGTTTTAATTTTTCTTGTTTAGTAGTGTCTTTTCAGCCAGAGCCAGTGTTCGAGGAGATGGTTTTGTTGGTTACGGATTGCTATGCCTGGGTCTTTAAGGAGAGCAAGTTGAAGGTTATTGGGTGGGTTTGTAGGTCAGTCCTATAAATGGTTTAAAGTAAAGGAGCAAGTGTGTTCCCCTATGACACTCGGACAGTATAAATGTAGACTTTATGTGACCTGGAAATAGCGATCGGAAATGAAGCAGAAGATATCGGGTAAGGGATTTCAGCATAACCGGTGGAAAGCTTGAGCGATATCCAGTAATACACCAGGGTACAGACGCCTGGTGAACGGTCGAATGAAAACTTCGTAAGCCGTATTCTGGATGGTATTTTTTCTATTGCTATTACATTTCGGAGCATGATTTTTTGGCTTTTCTTGGATTTTTCCAAGGTCGGGCTGTAGGCCGATTGATCTGTGGGAGTTAGGGAGATTAGTAGATTGGCGAGGTAGTTGGTGTGTGTCTGATCCTTAAATAATAAAATAAATAATAAATAAAAGTCTGGTAACTAAAAATAATGACACTTTTGGTCCGATGCTCCGGACATGTGTAGTTACATATTTGAAATAACGTTTTTAAATTTTCATAATAAAAATGTCTTTCTAGTACTAAAAAATTGTATAAAATAAAAACGCATTTTTTGAAAAATTATTTAGAAATTATGCAAGTGTAATTACATTTGGAAAATATGAAAAACGTATTAAAAAAATTAAACCTTCAAAATTTTTCAAAATAGAGTACATTTTTAAATTTTCGAAAGTAAAATTACGTTCATCTTTGATTTAACTTTTGGCTTTATAAATATATCTAGTTCGTAACGTGATGTCTCCAGTCTCGAAATGGAACGGGATTATGGGAACATTTAACAGTCCGATGTTAGCAGAGGCGACGATTTGTGAGCTTCCAGGAAAATTTAATTCCAGATGCACATACATATTCGTTTCTGACCATGACGGGTCGGGCTTTCCTCGAAATTTTCTCTTTACATCTTGAAATCTGTAATTCTCTCAAACCCTTCTTACGTTGTTAACTTTTTATTTATTTTCAATAATCTTTTTATGTACGGTCTTGGTTGAAATGAAGTTAGCTGCTCAAGTGATTAGAGCAATTGCATATTGAGCCGAAGGTCGTAGGTTCGAATCCCGCTCGTGACACTAACTTTTCATTTCAACCAACACCTTACATAAAAAGATTAATTAATTGAAAAAAGTATTTTGGTCAATCGGACCACTAAATATAATGGATTTTCAATAATTTTGTTGTTTACTATATTAAATATGGACAAAATATGTAAATTAAGATAAATATGGAAATTCCTCAAAATATTTTGTAAATATGTAAAATAAAATAGGGTTTATTTGCTTCTAAATGCCACGAAACATGAAATAAAACTTTCAAAAACGCTGTACGTGATTCAGAAAAAATAATTGCGAATATATATAAAAACAGTCCCTTCTAATAACATTTAATATTTTTAAGAATAGCGTTACTAGTTCTTTCCGTACTTCTGTCAATCTTTCAGGGAAAGGGATACTAAATTATTGTCTTATCTGGCTTTGTCGTGGGTAAAGAAGTTTTATTTTGATATTTTTTGATCTATTATTATAAGACTTTAATTACAGTTGATTGTTTTTATACTATTTTTTCTATTATAGGAAAAAAATTTTGAAAATGTCTACTTTTTATACGATAATAATAAGTTGATTGTCTATTTATTACATTCTTTCATATGTTTTTGATTCAGTTTTTGTAACGTTTGTTTTGTTCCCAATCTTTTACAGCTGCTATAAAAAAAGCGCTAGCTGAATAGGCTAAACCATCAAAGCACATCTCCTTTGCGTTATGGTATTCAACGCCCCGTCTTTGTTTGTATTACGTTAAAATGTAATTTTTTTCTTCTCTCTCTTCCTATAAACTTTTTTTTTCTTAATTGGGTTTTATTTAAATTTAATAACTCACCAATAAAATCAGCCAAGATGTAATGACATATGAAAACCCCAGCAAAGTACATAGCTCGGTGTTACTTTTATAAATTAAATTTCTCAGAAAGGTCGCCGTTTGATTAATTAAAGATAGGGAGACCAGGCCGATCGGAAAAATATCTGATAAACCAGGACTTGGATCACGCTATTTATTATATACTTTCATATTGACGCAGTACGACCACTGCGAGCTTTTTGAACAAACAGACTATTTTATTTTTTATCGTTCTATAAATCTATTATCCATAGATCGGAAATGCCCCTTTTTTTCAAAGTACACTTTGGGCGCGTCCTATAAATTTTTATTAGGGCATTAAGAGGAGGGCACAGATGTTAGCCTTTTATTTGCCACACTAGCAGTCCTAGGTTCGAATCTTGGCCCAGCCCATGTTTTTTTAATTGAGAATAGTATGAAAGAAGTATTGTATAGTGATTTGACCTCCTGTCCATGACACCCAGCAGGTAGTTGGATGTTAAACCCTTCTGTATGACAAGAATTACTTTATTTTATGAGGGCATAAATGTTAGGGCATCCTCCTTTTATTTGCCACACTAGGAGTCCTAGGTTCGAATCTTGGCCCACCCCATGGCTTTTTAATTGAGAATATGTGAAGAATTACTTTACTTTATGAGGGCACAAAGTCTGCAATCTTGTGGTGAAAGGCTTTCGGAATGGCTGCTAGTGTCGTTTGGGGTTTTAAACAAGGTGAATTCTAAGCCTCTCGCTCTTTGCCATATTTTATAGATAATTTATCAGAATATTCGAGCTGGTGTTAGAATTGTCAACAGGAAAAATTAAAGCGGACCTGGTATGACTGGCTCTCCTTATGGTTACAAAATAAATAAATAAATAAAATAAAAGAAATGTATTGTGACTTATGAAAACAAGTAAACACTAATAAGCAAAAAATTTCAAAATAACAAAGGAAATTTTTGGCTGAATGAAAGATGGAAATTTAAAAATGAAAAATCAGAAATAATTCAAATCTACAAATATTTGGCTGTTTGATTAACGCTGCAGTTAAATTTTAATTTTTAAAAGAACTTTTGGAAAATTATGTTTAAAAAACTAGATTTTGTCATTTCTGATACTGGTCATGGAGACAATAAAACTAGTGATAATTGGAAAAAGCCGAAACGCATCGGTCAGAAAACACGTATAAACGTACAAATCACAAATTATAATTTTTACCTGATAATATAAAAAGTGTATCAAACATAATTGTGGCTCAATTATTAAAAAAAAGTTCCCTTATTTGTATTTAGTTTCAGATGATTGAGAGATGGATTTGGAGACAGAAGGAGGGTGTCACCCAGAGGAGGGTGGGCACAAAAGGGGTAAGAAAAAGAAGCTCGTCCAAGAGGTTTACGACCCTCTCCCCCCGAAGGCCACAGAAGGGAAGAATTTCGAGATTTCCCAAGAACTCGAATATGCAAACAGGTATTTTCCTTTGTAATTATTAGATAAAACATTTTTTTAAATGACAAGCAACAAAAGATAATTTCTACAAAACCCCCCGGGGGTTGTGGACGTTTCCACAGATGTATTTATGCAAATTGTTTTTGTCCATATCCTTGAAAAGGGGCTCCATACGGTTAATTAATGTAATATGTAATAAATGGTATAAAGTATATATTAATAAAAACAAATAACATTATACACACATTATGTTTTAAATTGTTTCAAAAAATACAAATCTCCCATATAAATCTAACAACAATAAATAATAATTACTATAATTATAAATAATGACTACAACCAGTACTACTACTTTAATTATGTAAAAATACAAATGCTAAAATTATTCTAAATACTAAAACTAAATACAATTATTACATATACACAAACAATCAACTTATTTTAATAATCATAACAATATTGAATTCCTTTTGGAAACATAACTAAGTTATTACAATTAATTAAGGTTTTTAGTTGAAATAAAAAAGTCAATGACACGAGCAGGATTCGAACCCACGATCTTCAGCTTGATACGCTGCTGCTCTACCACTTGAGCTATTGTGACCTCGATCCACTCGGACGCCAACTTCCCATCTCAACCCCATCTTTTGAACTTTTGAATTTTCCTTCCTTTTGCCATTTTTCAAATGTCGTGTAATCGGATTGGATTCTCGGCGACAAATGAAATGGCCACGGAGAGCTTTAGTGAAGTATACTTCATTGTAAATCATTAAATTCACTAACTTCGTGGTCCGCTTGACCAATTAATATATTATGATTAATTAAGGTTTTTAGTTGAGATAAAAGAGTCAATGGCACGAGCGGGATTCGAACCCACGATCTTCGGCTTGATTTGCTGCTGCTCTACCACTTGAGCTATCGTGACCTCGATCCACTCGGACACCAACTGGAACATCTCAACCCCACTTTTGAATTTTCCCTCCTTTTTGCCAAAATTCAAAAGGTGGGGTTGAGATGGGAAGTTGGTGTCCGAGTGGATCGAGGTCACGATAGCTCAAGTGGTAGAGCAGCGGCGCATCTAGCCGAAGATTGTGTGTTCGAATCCCCCGCTCGCGCCATTGACTCTTTTATCTCAACTAAAAACCTTAATTAATTGTAATATATTAATTGGTCAAGCAGACCACGAAATTAGGGAATTACTAAGTTATATTTGTGATGTTCCCGAAAGCAACTAATTAGGTTGATTTGATTGAGATTTTTTTGTATCCAGCAAAGAGTAAAACAGACAAAAACAAAAATTATTCTCTTACGATTCAATTGGAAATCAAGCTTCAAAATTTATAAAAATATAGTTTACTCTCTTCTTTTTGTTTTGGTGAGTTTTCACTTCCAGGACCTCGTTGCCATCTTGTAATGTTTTCAATGTACAATTTAAAAAAGTTGTAATGTAGTTACAAACAATGATGAGAAAAGTGTAACTAAAGAAACAAAAATAAAGTTTTTACGAAAATTCAAGATTGTTGAAAGATAAATTTTTTTCAAATTTTTTTCGGTGTTCTAATAAAATAAATGGACTATATAATTGAAAAGCTTGCAATCCAGCGCACCTAAACCCCAAAATAAAAGAGAATCCAACAATACGAGCACACACCAAAGCGCAAAGAAAAGTAAGGGAGTGAATGCGCCGATCTGCGTAAAGCCTTTATTTCGCCACGTTGTGAACACTGGGGAAAACGTGTTAGGAAACATGGGACCCAACAATTGACTCGTCCGCCCAAATACCGTCTTTATATCCGGAGTCATGCCTACTTGCTCCCTGCTCTCTTTGATCAAATATGACACAACGAGTAATTTTTTCTAATAATGGGATACATTCGTGGCTTTTGGCCTAAAAGTAGGTATCCATGTGTCAGATGGGTAAGGCCAATCCTAAACTGGGTTTAGCACGATCCTTTCTTTCCAGACTCGTGTCTCAGACTGACTTGCAAGATCCTATTTGACCTGGCCCTTGGACGCTGCCAACATTTTTAACCGCTCGTGCTTATCACAGTTGCCTCAACTTAAACTGTTACAATTAACTGAAGTTAAGTTAAAACATAAAACTAATTTCGTGGATGATTTAACGAGAATAATACAAAAATCCTTATCACAAACATTGACTCATTCCTGATTGTGACTTTTCACCTGGCAGAATTTCAAAAAGGATAAATATATCAAATTTTTAGAGAAAAAAGTAATTTCTGAAATGAGCCTCGTCATTTAAAATAAATAAATAAATAAAATCTGTTTCAGGATCCTGCAGGCCATAATGAAATTGAAGAATATTCAACCCTTTTATGAGAAGCCGAATCCAGATTCTTTTGGGATGTCTTCATACTATAAAATAGTGAAGGAACCCATGTGGCTTTATGAAGGTAGGCAATTTTTTTAAACAAATATTATAATATCGATTTAATCAAACACCATTCAATACTTTTATAACATTGATATTAAATTTCAATAAACCGAAATTATCGACAAATTATTTATAGTTAAAAGAAAACTGGAAGAGGGTGAATATAACGGGCTAAGCGATTTTGTTAAGGATATGAGGCTCCTTCTTGAAAACTGCTACAGATTTTGGGGTGTTCAACATAGGATAACTAAAAAGGGATTACTTATGGAACATAAACTGGAACAAAGGCTGCAGGAAATTCCCAAGTACATAATTTTTTATTTGTAATGTTACGCTGTAGCGTTAACGTTTATTTATTATTTAGACCCTTGTTGGATAAGTTAAACAGAGAAAACCCTGACAACAATCAGGAGGTCGACGTCGTTAATAACGAAGTACAAAACTTGCCCTTTGTTCCAAATGAGATTGTAGATTTGGACGATTATGAGGAAAACGATGAGGCAGAAGCGCCTGTGGACCAGGAAAATCAAAAGGACCAAGAGGATATGAACGATATGGAAGAAAATGAAAGTAACAGTGGTGATTTTGACGAAGACAGTAACAATTCTACAGTATATTCATCATCTGTCGTTTATTACACTACCAAAGGTATTTTCAATTAATAAAATAACTTGAGATAACTAATAAAACCGGTTCTATTCAGTCTTTCAGTCAAAAATATTGGAAAAAGTTTTAAAAAATGAGGTTGATGAGGAAGATGAAGCGGATGATAGTGAAGAGGCAAAGGAACTGGAGCAAAAGATGCTCAGCTGGGAAAGAGAGAACCTTGTTACTGAAGAGATTCAACAAGAAATAAGGAAAATGTGGCAGGTAAAGTCTTAAATAATTCATGTTTTTCATCTCTTCATGTCTACTTGACTACTTAATTAAGCACAAGTTGGCATTCATGAAGTACATTCACATCCACACTTCTCTATGTTAACAACACCTAAAAAAACACAAATTTTTAAGAGATGATTTGCCCCATTAGAGGGTGAACAGTGTACAATTTTGCTTTATGCTAGAATTGTATTATTAATTCACTAATTTCGTGGTCCGCTTGACCAATTGATATATCCACTCGGACACTAATTTCCCGATCGAGGATCGAGGTCACGATAGCTCAAGTGGTAGAGCAGCGGCGTGTCTAGCCGAAGATCGTGGGTTCGAATCCCGCTCGTGCCATTGACTTTTTTATCTCAACTAAAAACCTTAATTAATTGTAATATATTAATTGGTCAAGCGGACCACGAAATTAGTGAATTTAATGATTTACAATGAAGTATACTTCACTAAAGCTCTCCATGGCCATTTCATTTGTCGTCGAGAATCCAATCCGATTACACGACATTTGAAAAATGGCAAAAAGGAGGGAAAATTCAAATGGTGGGGTTGAGATGGGAAATTAGTGTCCGAGTGGATCGAGGTCACGATAGCTCAAGTGGGAGAGCAACGGCGTATCTAGCCGAAGATCGTGTGTTCGAATCCCGCTCGTGCCATTGACTTTTTAATCTCAACTAAAAACTTTTATTAATTGTAATGTATTATTTATATTGTCATTAAATAAAAGAAGTCTTTATTTTCTAGCTTGCAGAAATTGGCCATTTTTTAAAACTTACATTTGAAGTTTTAAATGTCGAAGAAATGACACAGTACGAGGTTGAAAGGATGCTGTTGATGCCAAGGGAGTCATTGACCCTCACGACTCTTATGACTTCAATGCTCAGGTATATCTTCACATTAGGTTAAAATTATCTGCAAAAATTAAACATTGAGATGGATTTTTCAGTCCTGAAATAAAGCGTGCTTCTCTCGATGAATCTCCTCTCATGCCGTATGAAGTGTGGACTGGCAAATTGAGCAGAAAAATAGAAGAGTGGCTTGGAGTGTTTTATTTGTCCAATGACAGGCTAGAGGTATTTTTTTTACATCAGATCAAAACAATATTTTATTTGTGAGATTGTTAACACAGTTTGTGAGATTGTTAGATTCATGTTAGTGTGTATATTCAGATTTTTCCCCTTAGTGGTTTGGTCTTGTCGATGTTTTGTCTTAAGGTGGCCATTCACGATCGCTCCAAAAGGATCCGCGCCAAGCCTTACAGCTCCATTTGGAGTGCCTGAAATTTGAGGAGGTATTTACGGCTGCTCCACAGCCAATCACTCCGAACGTCATCTGGTGAATTACCTTCTCAAAATGGATGACAATCTCTTGTGCTGCTGTTTGTTTATATATTAAAAGCAAAAAACCAAAGAGGAAATGGGGTAAGAAGTGGCTCCTGAACAAAAGCCGTAATACCCTTAGCTTGATGAAAGATCTTTCCCTTGAACCCGCTGATTGGAGGAACTATTTAAGGATGGATGAAACATCTTATTTATTCATTATATTTAGTGTCTATTGACCAAATTACTCCTTTCAATTAATTAATCTTGTTTTGTAAGGTTTTGGTTGAAATAAAAAAGCTAGTGCCACGAGCGGGATTTGAATCCATGACCTTCAGATAAATACACCACTGCTCAACCACTTGAACTATCGTGACTTCGATCCTCTTGGACACCAAAAAAGGCAAAAAGAGGGAAAATTTGAAAGGTTGTAGGTTAAGATGGGGAGTTGGTGCCCGAGTGGATCGAACTATTGAAGTCACGATAGCTCAAGTGGTTAGTGCAGCAGCGTATTTAGCCGAATGTCGTGGATTCAAATCCCTTGTGACACTATTTTTTCATTTCAACCAAAACCTTACAAAAAAAGATTAACGTCTTATTTATATTTACTCCAGTTTATTACCCCCTTGATTAGAAAACAAAAGACAGTCATGAGAGAAATCATCACTCTACATGAAAGGTTGGCAATCACATTACGATTTCTCACTACAGAGATGAACTATGAAGAACTTAAGTTCTCAACTACGATTTCTCACTACAGGGATGAACTATGAAGAACTTAAGTTCTCAACTACGATTTCTCACTACAGGGATGAACTATGAAGAACTTAAGTTCTCAACTACGATTTCTGCTCAATGCTTAGGGGTTATCAATACCGCATCTCTCGTTGCATTTGTATCCTTTGTTTTGAAAACGTTGACCAACTGGTTGAGAATCGAATTTCTTTTATTAATATCGTGGTAATCATTGTCCACCACCTTCCATAAACATGGTAAATTTTCATACAATTCAATCAAGTCAACAATAAAATCTCGATTGGATGTCATTGCCCATAGAGCATAAACATTTTTGACTTTTTGAGAATGTACAATGGAGATGTTTGCTCAGTGACAGAAAGACGGAGACTGCACCAGAAAAAACGCGGGTTTTTCCATTCACGACCAAGCCAGCGCTCCAATATTCCACCATTCACGCCAGGCTTTCCCATTCACGAATGCGCTGTTAATGTTTGGAGTGGCGTGATAGAATTTGGACGGTTGAATATTCAGCATAGCCGGGCACGCAAGTTGAGTTTTGCCATTGACAAAGTTTTTAGAACGGCGTTGCACCATTTGGTGACTAAACTAGGAGCGATCGTGAATGGCCAATTTTAGTAATTTTTCTTTTATGATTGTGGCTAATTTCTTGAATTAGTTTGTATGATTCCTTCCCAATGTATATGAATGTGGTCCATTTAGTTTTATTTAAAATATTTAATTTGTCATTTTTAGGTTTATGAAAAAATAGGTATTGAACCTTATTTCTGGGATGTTATTAGACTGACCAATCCCTTAACCGAAAAGAGATTCCATGAAATAAGTTTCTTCCAGAGAGTGTATATAGTGAAATCTCTTTGCAACAACCTTTTGGTAAATATTTTTACTATAAAATCCCAAAATTGTCTTTATCTGTCTAATACAATAATTTTCAGCATACAAATAAAACAATCCAAGATTTATTTAATGAAGAAAATCCACTTGTTGAGGGTATCCGACCTGTCGTTCTTGGTAAAGACGCTGAGGGAAGTAAGTACATATCACTTCCTTTCTTGCCAGAAATCAGGATATACAAGGAGACGAAAGTTTTAAATAAAACTGTACGTAATAAAAAAAATGGCTGTTTAAATTTTACATGTAATTGACAAACTTTCTTTAGTTGTCGCAGTGGCGTACTCCAGAGGGCTGTGTTTTTAAACTACAAAAATTCCACATCACTCCTGTTTGGGATGAAGACGGTATATAAAAAATATATTAATAATTGTTAAACTATTTAAAAAATAATTATTTAAAAATTATTAGAGCAACAGATTAACGTCGCACCGTCGGAAACATTCAGTTTGATTGCCGACGACTTAGACAGTCTTATCGCTCTGATCGAGGAATCTAAGGAGAATGAACTTTTTAGTTTAGTGACAAAATTGAATCAGTACCAAAAGGAAGCGAGGTCGTACAGGATAAAATGTGACGGCCTGAGAGCTTTGTACCAGCAATGGAACAATTACCAAAACAGGTGATTTAACATTTTATTTACTTTTTACTGAATAATATATTTTTGAAAATAATATTGTCCTTTTATTTTTTTTTTAAACTTTATTTAAGGCCTCCTGAATATTTCACCAATATGCTGAACCTTTGGCTAAGAACTGAAAAACCTGTGGTACAGACAGTGCAATCTAATCCCAACGAATCTGGAGATTTGGGAGAAAGCAGTAGCTGTGTCTTAGGTAATTGCCTTTTTCAATGTCTCGTAACATTGACCTTTATTTATCATTCTTTTTTAAATAAAAATCATTCAGTCGTTACAACCGGTATCTTTAAATTTGCGATTTTTGTTATAGGGAAAAGAAGAAGTGTGACAATGTCTTTTAAGGGTTTCAATTCCGATGCAGATGACTTTTTTGATAGCGATTCGGACTGGGAAGCTAATCATAAGAAACGGCGTAGAAGGGGGCCGAAAAAGAAAGCCAAAGAGTCAAAAGAACAAAAAATGGAATTTAATAGTACCAGCAATAGCATTATTGAAAATAATGATAGTAGTATGGCATCGGAGGGTGTTAATGAAAGTTTTCAACAGGCAGGTTCCAAACAGGTTGACTTCGAAGAGACAAAGCCTACGCTTTCTGAACTAAACGCATACATGGCTAAGGCTGAGAATAAAAATAATATTGAAAAGTTAGACACACCGACACCTTCGATTCGAGTCGTACCCCTTGCTAAAATGAAAGAAGAAAAAGCCGATGATGTGATATGTATAAGCTCAGATGAAGATAAAGATGATGATGTTGTCCTCAGTGGTGCAAATCAAATTAAGAAAACAATTACAAATGTTCAGTCATTAACTCAGCAGGTTACAGTTCAGCAAGTATCTCTTTTACACATGCCAGAAGTTAAAAAACAGGTGTTGGTACCGGTCTCTAACCAGAGTTCGGTGACGCCGATGAGGATACAGAGGCCAAGATCATTTCCTACGCAAGAAACAAGGCAGAGGGCTGTAACGATACAAAATGTCCGTGTACCAATGCCCCAAACACCAGTGTTCCCTCAGAACAGAGGAAGAATTGTAATGCCATCTCCGATGAAGCAACAGCAGGTAGTCATGCCTCAGCCTATACCAGCTGCTGGGGCGCAGCAGCAAACATGGCAGAGATCTCCTCGACAACAGTCTCCACGTCAGCAATACCAGTACAGTCCTAGAGCAAGGACGCCTACCTCCCCGATGACGAGGATGAGGACTCCGACAACACCCGTTAACAACAGGGCGATGACTTCCCCAAGGCAGATGACGCCCAGGGCGTTGTTTAACAGTCCTAATAGAGCCCAACAGAGGGCTGTACCTGCCCCGATCAATTCTTCTCCCGATACTATCGAAGGAATGTTAACAGTAGGAAGTGATCCTGACGGTACTTATCGGTATAGAGTGAAGCTATCAGACGGTGGCATCATCAACTTATCAAGGGCAGAAGTCGAAGATATTCGTCAGAAGAATAATGGCATTCTTCCGCAAAAAGTCAATGTCCCATTAGTCAAGAGAAAAGGATTCTAATGAATAAAAAACTGATAGTTGTTTGTAAATAATTTAACTGATTAAGTAAAACTGGATCATTTTTTTATATTTCTTTTTTAATGAGCACAAAACTGTGTTTTTCATCACATTTACTAGTTAATTGCATTCCTAGAACTATTCTGATGTTCAAGTTAGTATATTCCTTTTAACATGTGCCATGAAAGCAACTTAAAAATTATTATATTTGTTAACCAGTAATTTCAAGTTCCCCAAGAAACTTCAAAGTTCAGAATTGGATCAATTTTCTTTGTGTAAGTATTGTAATATATAAAATTATATATACATTTTGTAAATACATTAAATTTTCAAATTGAAAATGTGGGTTTAAAAATTTATTTGTTTGATAAAAAAAAAAATTTTCTAATAGTATACTTTTATTTATTTATCGTGGGTAATATATTTTAAAAAATGTATTGCATTACAGAATAATAAAGGTATAATATTTTTTTTTGATTATTTTGTTTTAATTGGTCTTAACTAACCCAATCAAACTCAGTGTGGCTCGTGAGGCTATATGAACCGGGATCGTTGAAACCTAAAGCAGAACTATTCTGGAAATGTGCAGAGTTGAACTTATACAAAATCAAGATTAAAAAACAAAACATTGTAGTAATAAATTAATTCTTTATTTTTAGAAGACAAGTAATAAAATATGAATTACAATAACATTTGAAATTAGTTCTCCTTTGAGCTTGGAACAGCTTTTGAGTGAGTGTTAAATTGAAAAGATGACGGTTGATACTAAAATATTTCCATTTATGCACGAGTGACAAACAGAAAAATATTTACACAAGTTACAACCAATAATTAACAAAATAAAAATTTTATTTTCAACATTAAATAAATAAAATTAATCATTACTATAAAATCAAAAATCACCTTGTTAACATTATCTTGTAATAAAATTAAGACAAAAAATTAATCCATTTTTAATTTAAATATTAAATCATTGTTCGATGTTAAAAAATTTCTTTCATAACTAATTTTAAAAATTTCTAAAAGCTACCCTTCCTTATACTTTGTTAATTTTTAAAACATATTTATTAACTAATAAAACAATTTAGGCTAATCAATGACTCAGTTTAAGTAAATTACACTTACTAAATAAATAAATTGGCACTTCACAAGCCTAGGCAGCGCTAAAAACATATTAATATGACTTTTTTTTTCTACCACTATTGGGTTTTGATTGAAAGAGATATGGCCTGGATTTGCACTAATCTTAAAACCCTGTAAGCCAGTTTTTTATGCTGCTTTGATCTGAAAATAAATATGAGCTACAGCTGATAGACGACGTTAGTATTTAAAATTCCACCGTTATACAAATCTATTATGAAAAATACTCTAAACAGGGTTAGGCACCAATATATAAGTTTTAAACTTTGAGCACTAGTTAATTTAACATTTATTAGCCGACCGTTTAAAATTGAATAGTTAAAATGAGGTAAACATTCATAAAACTTTTAAAAAGAGCTATTTGTAACAATATTCTAATTGAAATCTAGATCTCCGATGAATGAAAACCGTTTATTTTGTGCATTGTATCACATGCGCCATCTCAATTTGAAACGGTAAAACTGCGCATTAAGAACCTTAAACCGTCGATTCGGTTTAAATAAAGCTCAATTGCAAAGCTTCGCTGTATAATTAACTCAAGATTGAAACAACCTGTATCGAAATAAATTAATTGAAAAGTGTACGTTTAAAAATTACGCCCTTGATAGAACGGTTGTCAGGCCATTTAAGTAAATCGATGATCTCATTTAGTCGTAATTGAAACTAATAATTGTACCATGGCTGCCTGCGCACCCAGCGTAACCTGATTCCTGCAACAGTGCGAATCTTGATCGAAGCCGCCTCAGCAGCCCTCACAGTCTCTTTCACCGACTGCATGAGATTTTGTGCGTTTCCGACAAGCATGTCTGTCGCTTCCTGATCTTCCTCAGTGCCTATATGAAAATATTTGTAAAATTAATAACAAAAAAAACAATTGTTTAAAATGCACCTTTACTAATTTGATTGCGTACAATATTTTTTAATGAAAACAAGGCTTAATTTTTTTAAAAAATTTCATGCAGAATGAGGCAACTAGCAAGACAAAAAAAAATGGTAATTTTATGGAACAATATAAATTATTTGATAGTTTAAAAAATATTAAGATCTTAAGGCATCTCTTGATTCAACTTTTGTTGATTGTATAAATGCTACTTGAATTAGCTTCAGGTTTTTGATGTTACTCAAACATGTTTTGTCATCTTTAGTGAGAAACTTGTTTTTACAATTTCATTTCTTGCTAAAAAAAACAACAACAATATTTTAGCCTATGTCAGTAACTCAGCAAAGTAGGATAAAATTTTTTCAAGGAAGAAACAAAGTTGATATAGGTTTATAAAAACTGCTGAATACAAATTTTGGGCAAATATTTTTTTTTCTTAAATTTTTTACCTTTGATTTAGTTTTGAAAATTTCAATTTCACTAATCTACTGGTAACTCTACAGTGGTTTTTCATTAAAAATTACTTTACAATTAATTAAGGTTTTTAGTTGAGATAAAAAAGTCAATGGCATGAGCGGGATTTGAACCCACGATCTTTGGCTTGATACGCCGCTGGTCTACCACCTGAGCTATCGTGACCTCGATCCACTCGGAAATCAACTTCCTATCTCAACCCCACCTTATGAGTTTTCCCTCCAAAGTTTTCCAAGTGGTAGAGCAGCGGCGTATTTAGCCAAAGGTCGTGGGTTCGAATCCCGCTCGTGCCATTAACTTTTTTTCATCTCAACTAAAAACCTTAATTAATTGTAATGTATTAATTGGTCAAGCAGACCACAAAATAGTGAATTTAATGATTAAAAATTACTTTTGATCTAAGGTCTTGGTCGAGATGAAAAGTTAGTGTCACAAGCAGGATTCGAACCCACGACCTTTAGCTAAATATGCCGCTGCTCTAACCGCTTGAGCTATCGGACTTTGAACCACTCGGTCTCCAACTCCTCATTTCAACCCACAACCTTTCAAATTTTCCCCTTTTTTGCCATATTTTCAAATGTAGTGTAATCAAGATTTGATGATCAGTGACTTATAAAATGGCCAAGGGGAGCTGTTCGCAAAGTAATTACTTCTGTAATTTAATATTAATTTCATATATGTTTAACAGACAAAATTGACCGTGTGAATTATTTCAATTGATTATACTTTTTATCTAAGGCCGTGGTTTCGAATCCCGCTCGTGACGCTTTTTCATCTTAACCAAGGCCTTAGATAAAAAGTATAATTAACTGAAATAATTAATATGGTCAATTATGACAATTAAACATACATGGGCTTATATGTTAAATGTGATAGCACAAATGTTGCCTCTGTAAATAAATCAGAAGCGGAGATATAAAAAATAAAATGTTTTGTGGTTTTTTTGTTTGATGATTCCATCCTCTTTTTCTCATTCATAAAGATATTTTGGATAGAAATGCAGTGGAGTTATGAATTTGTAAGTCAAAAAACAGGACATAGAAGGAAAAAAAATTCCCAGGCTTGAGCGCAAAAATGTGTACTTTTTGTTTGTCATAAAAATTTTCATAACTTTAAAGGATGTTCAAAACGAACTCAATATATATAAATTTAATCTACTTTTATTGCAAGCATACTTTCGTTTTTGTAATCTTTTATTTAGATAATCTCATTGAAATGAACCTTCTGTAATTCCAGTATCTAAAGGGGTACTGGGCAAAGTTTTAAATCCCTTATTATTTTCTCTTTTCTTGTCCGATATCGAATAACTTAATAGAAATAACTACTTGTTTGATTTTTTACTAACTCTGTTCAGTTTACCATTATATAAAAATAAGGATTTGCGTAATAACTTTGAAATAATTGCATAACAAAGGCATAAACACATATTTATGGCACTTCGGGTTCATTAGCAAGAATGGACAGATATGTTTAATTTTGACTTAGTATCAGTGATAAGTTTAATTAAAAATGGTGATAGCCACCGCTTTTGATATGTTTCAACTTTTCACGTTTCAACTTGAAAAGAAAGATTCATGACTTAAACGAAGTAAATTTCACAGGAGCCAATTTTAGTTGATCAACAAAATTTGAATTGGGAAAACGAGCCTTTAAATTTTAAAATTCACTATTAACAATAATTATGGGAAGTTAGTGTCCGAGGTCACGATAGCTCAAGTGGTAGAGTATCTAGCCGAAGATCGTGGGTTCGAATCCCACTCGTGACACTGACTTTTTTATCTCAACTAAAAACCTTAATTAATTGTAATATATTAATTGGCCAACAGACCACGAAATTAGTGAATTTAATGAATTAAATTGAAGTATATTTCACTAAAACTCTCTGTGGCCATTTCATTTGTCACCGCAAATCAAATAGATTACACGACATTTGAAAAATGGCAAAAAGGAGGGAAAATTCAACAAGTGGGGTTGAGAGGGGAAGTTGGTTTCCGAGTGGATCGAGGTCACGATAGCTCAAGTGGAAGAGGAGCGGCGTATCTAGCCGAAGATCGTGGGTTCGAATCCCGCTCGTGCCATTGACTTTTTTATCTGAACTAAAAACTTTAATTAACTGTAATATATTAATTGGTCTAGCAGACCATGAAATTAGTTAAATTAACAATAATTAATTACATAAAAATAATCAATCAGAGATTAAATAAACTTCAAATAGGGGAAAAATTGATGGAAAAAAGCTGGTAAGTTTGAAGCATTGTTTCTAAAAAAATTAGCCAGATAAAATAATTAAGAATGATAAGTAAAAATAATAAATAATGATAAAAATAACCTGTAGTTCTTAATAGTATAAATGTTCTTAAATATATTTAAGAAATAAGTGCTGACTACCTAAGCAATTATTTTTATTACATGCATCTAGATGCTGTAAGGAATTAAATCAAACTTACTCGACCCAATCAACATATCTTCCAAGGATGCACCAAACATATTTCAATTATACTAATTTTATGAAAAAAATTTATTTAATAACTTTTGCGTTTTTAAACAAAGCAAATGTATTTTTCTAAATATATTTTCAATCAAGAAGAGGAAAAACATGCCATTTTTAAATTCATGCTTTATCATGCTTCTTTTTTTTTGTGATGCGGTTTTAAAGGGAATGCCTCAAGCCTGCCACTTTGACACGATAATAAAATGCAAAAACGGTGCAGCAAATGCACGGAAAAAGGTGAAAAAATTACCGCCTTCCAGTTCCGCCAATTCCCTCCTTGGAATCATTTCTGCAATATATACACCCAATATTTACACCAAAGCAAACCATACAGCATAAGTGTATTTACTTTTTATGTGAAGGCATTTGGTACAATCAAATTTGCGATAAGTTCGTTACATGCTGTTCATAAAGAAAAACAACCCAAGCTTTATTTATTTATTTTTTTTGTACGCTTCCTTTCCATACATGATTTTTAAAAAAAAACGTTTTGTTCTTACTTTTGACAAAAGGTTATTTATTTACTACCGGACCATATATGAAGCAATGATTTAATCTTATTTACACCGCTTAAATCACATTCAATTATTTTTTAAATGTGCAATTTGCACGTCTCCAAACAAATATTTAAGTTCTTGTGAGAAGCAATTTAAATTATTGCTATGAAAATATGTACAAAGGCAGCATATTACATATCTTTAAATTTTTATGGGTCACATTTTATAAATGAGAATATGTTAATATATTGAACTTTCAACAACTCCATAACATGCAAAGTACATACATTCTCAATTTATATTTCCCTAAGCTTTTTTTTCACCCAAAAACCCAGACAATAAACATTTTTTTGTAAATCTGTAGCTTCGATGTTTCTGATCATCTGTTCTCATTATCCTCACTTGATGCTTGAAAATTGATGTCTCATCTGTCAGATCAAAGGAGCGAGGATAGGCACATCAGAATGATCGGAAATGACCCAAATAGACTTGTTTGAAAGAAAAAAGTAATGGGTTGGTAAGTTCGTTCAGTTTTAGCAGTATTAAAAATTTACGCTGCTCTACCTACTTCTGTTGTATTGTAACCATACTACGCTACTGCATAATTGAAAGGTAATATTTAACAATACATAACGTTTTAATGAATTTAACTTTGGAATACATCAGTCGCTAGTGCAAGACAATAGGAGGAAATAACATGTATTACTGGCAAATTTGGTTTTTTATTTCAAAAAACGATATGCAGCGCATATGGGGAATATGTCTTAACAGAATGTAAGTGGAAAATTTTGTCAACGACACGACCTAGGCCAATTATCTAAACGAGATTGATTTGAGTGGTGTGAAAGACAATTGACAAAAATCTGCCACAAACATCGTGGGAAATTGCTGCAGCATTAAACATATGATATATCCCGAGCGTTTAAAGCCAATTTGCCAATTTGACTGCCTCGATATCCATTTTTGATTCGCTGCAACGTTGCCAAGAAAAAGACTTATTTTTAGGGACAAAAGGACGATGAAAGGACAAAAAGGACAATTGCTGTAAACAACCTCAAAAGGATAAAAAATTATGCTTTCTGTGTAGTGGGATTTTAAAGGTGTTGTTTTCAGGGTATCTATGGCCACAACGGTTTAGTCATTGACACGGTGTTCATCACTGTAGAGATATAGGTCCCGGGTTCGAATCCAGCGGCCCTGCATTCAAACATGACATACCTACGATTTTTTTTTTTTTTTCAAAAACACTGGCACCCCGAGGGTTCAAATAACCTCATAGTTGAAATACCCTAATTTAAATTAAAATTTTTAGTAGATGAAAAAAAGTTAATGGCAGGAGAGGGATTCAAACCCACGACCTTCAGCTAGATACGCCGCTGCTCTACCACCTGAGCTATCGTGACCTCGATCCACTCAGACATCAACTCCCTATCTCAACCCCACCTTATGAGTTTTCCCTCCTTTTGCCATTTTTCAAATGTCGTGTAATCGTTTTGGATTCTTGACTACAATTGAAATGGCGACGGAGAGCTTTAGTGAAGTGTACTTCATTTTAATTCATTAAATTTACTATTTTCGTGGTCCGCTTGACCAATTAATACTTTACAATTAATTAAGGTTTTTCATCTCAACTAAAAACCTTAATTAATTGTAAAGTATTAATTGGTCAAGCGGACCACAAAAATAGTGAATTTAAATTAAAAAAAAAAAAAAAGTTTTGCTGCATCCTCCTTGTATGCTTGCTGGTCTTATTTAATGGTAGAAACAGGAAAAATAATAAAAAATAAAAACAGACTTACTCTTAGCTCGCCCCACCCGTAACCTCTGTGTGGACAGAAAACTGCTGCCGGGACAAATTCCACCCTATTTTTGGCCAAAGGAGAAAACGGAAATTTACGGCCGAACCCAGAGCAATGCGGCCGTAAATTTGTCAACAATTTTAATTGCTTTCAGGTACAAATAAAATGAAGGTAAACTTCTCAGGAAATAAGAGAAACTACTTGAAGGAAGTAATGAAATAGGAGGCGATTTGAAGCTAGCGGACTGTAGGAATATAGTAAGGAAAATCCGGAGCAGTAGGATAACACAAGGGAAACAGGATGGAAACTAAAAAGGGTTAAATCGTAAGCAAATTAATCTACTGACGATAGCTGAACAGAAGCAAAAAGTTCAATAAAAAATGGCATTGGGAGCAAGAGGATTAAGGAATCATAATAATTTGCTGGCGCAATTTTATTCATCGGACTTAGCACCTTCTGATTACTGCTCATTCGAACTGTTACAGAATGGAAAAACCTTTCATTGATGGATATCGCATCTAGATCAGCCACCTACAACACTCTGGAGTTTTATGATGCGGCATAACAGAAAAGATGACAAGATAATAAAAAGGTTCAATAAATAATTGCACTCATAAAAACCGAACGAACTTATTTGCCAACCCTATGGACAATATTTTGAGAAATTTCTTTCAAAGTTCAACATTTCTACTTGAAAAGCTAAAAATCTGGCCCATCAAATGTTAGCAGATCTTACATCAACATCTATTGATGTAATGCTAATTAAATTCAAATTATTATGTTATACAGTCGAACTTCACATTGGCACCAGCGAGGGATGGAGTTGTACCAGAATGATTCACATAGAAAAAATATTAGGTACATAGACTCAAATTGTCTATTTTTTATGAGCTTGTTTAACTTCGACCTTTTCTTTGACAATTTTTTTTCCACACTCATTTCTAAAATCGGTTTGTCACAATCACCATCTGAGGACTAACTAGCTGAACTAGTGAAAAAAGGCGCCTGAGAGGGTTGTTTGGGTTATAAAAATTCTTGAAATGTTACTGTTTGTATGTAACAAGTACAAGAGACACAGTAGAATGGTCAACGCGTTAGATTTTCGGCTCAAGACCCCATAGGTAGTGGGTTCAATTCCCACAGTCAACCCTTGTCTTTTTTTTCACCCTCTAATGTAAGTCATCATCAAAATTAAGTTGTCATTCATGGAATTCTGAATTGTTTTTCTTTCTGCTGACGCTTAGAAGAATAGAACTTTATTTTTTTAGAACTTTATTAGAAAACTATATCCATTTATTTTAGAATGTCCTTTAATGAGGGATGTCCAGTTATTAGAAGTGTCCATTTAGGGAAGTTCAACTGTATTTCATAATATTATCAGTTAATAATAACTGTGATTTTTTTTTTTTTTCAAGCACATATTTAACATTTTTGGTAAAATTTTGGTCTTTTCTTTTAAAATTGCTTTAAGCAATATTTTTTACTTCAGCATATTTGCACAATTATAACATTGCAATAAAGAAATATTTGTAAAATTTATACCTTGAGCTCCCAGCATAGTAGCTTTAACAGTAGATAGAATTTTCAGCTGAGTTCCAATCGTTGGAATCCTTTCACAGACTTGTAGCAAGCTCTGAAGAAAATAAATATTATTGTCGGAGTAGGAGGTGAGGTAAATAATAGAAATTGTACAAACCGTTCTCATTCTCTTATCTGTACATTCCCTCGCCAATTCTTTGGCCAATCTTGTCACTTCTTCACTAGCTTCGGCAATTTCCTTGGCACAAGCGATCAGGTCTCGTTTTGTACCTCCTTCGCCTCTTACGAGTTGTGAAAGCCGGCCCATGAGAAGTGCCATTCTTTTCGCAGCTGCAATGATGTCGTTATCCTTCGAAGACCACTGACGCACTTCCTCGTGTAAACCGTGTGCAGCAACCTGACAAAATATTAATTTACGACCAGTCCAATAAGGAACGAACGGAAGTATTTACCATGATCGGTTGATTGGGTTGCGGAGCATGCATAAACATGTCATCTTCGTCGTCTGTCTCTGGTGGTGGAGGACGAGGAGGTGGAAGATCACCTCCAGGAAGTGGTGGGCGTGGTGGAGCCAATTCTGAAGAAAAACTGCTATTAGAACCTACATTGTGAAATTTTTGACACACTACATGCTTGGAAAATTTTTAGAAACATTTGATTTTAGAAAAAAAAAGAACAAAAGAAAACAAACAACCCATTTAAATCTCCTTAAGTCCATGCTGAAGGAAAAAGAAAGGTTTTATGGGACAGAAAGTTTTATGTACACTTTATACAATGCACTACCTGGTTCAGCATAATGGACAGGCCTGTGAATCGGAGGCTGATAAACTGGTTCTGAAAAAAGTTTACGCTGTTATTTTCACCCGTCACCTTTAACCCGTGTCAGTCATTACACACTTGGTACTAAATTTAATACAAAAGTATTTATCTCTTTCCCTAGGAACTATCAAGAAACATAAAATGATAAACTAGATCTGCAAACATAGATTTATCTAATATAGATACATTTTCAGCTAAGAAAAATGCAAGAAGCTTTCAAAACAGGCACTATAAAACCAATTTACAACAATTTCTGTTTACAAATAACCACAAAGTTTATAAGATTGAATCATTTTGGTAAAAATTTGTAATGATTGAAGATTATTTGATGTTGCATTATGAAATATAAGCCTTAAAAATCAAGTAATTGAAATAAAACACTGCAAAAACTGAAAATATGCTACAATAACTCATAAAATAATAATAATATTCGCAAACATGTAGCTTAATGCGGGGAAAAAAAATTACTGCAATCTATCCAACATGCCATGGAAAAGCTGGGGATCATAAAATAACAAAAGATCAAAAATAAAAGCATTACAAAGAAATAATCTTAAATTAATTAAGGTTTTTAAGTTGAGATAAAAAGTCAGTGTCACGAGCGGGATTCAAACCCACGACCTTCGGCTTGATACGCCGCTACTTTACCACTTAAGATATCGTGACCTCGATTAATCGATTGAAAGTTATTAATTAGTGGATTTAATAAGTAACAATGAAGTACACCTTCACTAAAGCTCTCCGTGGCCATTTCATTTGTCGTCGAGAATCCAATCCGATTACACGACATTTGAAAAATGGCAAAAAGGAGGGAAAATTCAAAAGGTGGGGTTGAGATGGGAAGTTAGTGCCCGAGGGGATCGAAGTCACGATAGCTCAAGTGGAAGAGCAGCGGCGTATCAAGCCGAAGGTCGTGGGTTCGAATCCCACTCGTGACACTGACTTTTTATCTCAACTTAAAAACCTTAATTAATTGAATGTTATTAATTGGTCAAGCGGACCAAGAAAAATATTGGAATTACAAACAAACTTGAACTCTGATGACCTAAAAACATCTTTCAAACAAAATTGCCACTGGGCGGGATGGAAAAACAATCACAAGCGTCAAAGATGGAGAGGCCACCTGGAACATTTCCGTGGCACCCTTTGGAACAGGACTGTGCAAAACAAAAATAATTGGGCTCAACTTAGGGGATTAAAATAAATGCTTAAGTCCCCCCAGCCTTAAAAAGTATCGAAAGTATCCTGTAACCCTGGAGAGAGGAGCCATGGAAAAGAAAGTAACCAAGTCAGGAAATTGGTCATATATTAGGGGACCGGAAAGTGTTTTTTTTAAAAAGATTAAATTGAAACAGATAAATTTTTATCAAGTTTTGATTTTTAATTACCCTCGTTATCAACAACAATTTGTATCTGGTGTGTAAATTTTCAATACCGGATTGATAACAAACAATTGGTTTTTGAGCAAAATATCTATAGATGGCATTTTGTACATCATACAAATTTTCAAATTTTTTGCCACTTAGAAAATCAAGTGGCGATCGGAATAAATGGAAATTGGATGGAGCAATATCGGGCGAGGCAATACCTCCTACCTGAATTCATACATTTTTTCTCGGGTTTGTCTTGTGCGTAAGTTTCAGCACATCAAAAAGAACGACCCCGGGAACACTCCACCAAACACACGAAAACGCCTTTTTGGGATGTAAACCTAGTTTAGCTGTACTTTGTGGCAATCATTCAGAGCCACTGACTTTTGCACTTTGAATTATCATAGGGGACCCATACCACCTCCAAAGGTCAAGCGATCAAAAAATGCTTCCAGTATTGTGCTGGTTAAGCAAAAATCTAGTCTGCTTACTTTACCAATCTGATTCGTTTCCACTTCCACCTTTAACAAGTCATTGAACAAAGTTGTCGGTCTTCTTGATCGATAAGGGTCGAAAAGATCAAAATAACCAAATTTGAACTTAGAAAACCCCCTTTGGCATTTACAAATGTCTAATGCACTTGGATAAACATCGCAAATGTTTTTGGTTGCGTTACTACCCTTGCAAAAACTCAAAAAGCATATAATGCTGGATGTGTATTTTCTGTATTTGGCTGGCCCTGACACCATAAATTGGAAAAAATTAAGATTTAATTATTTATGAGTGAAGAAGTCATTCTAACCTTAAAATATCTTTGGCACGACTGAAATTCACAATGAGCTGATAAATGACAAACGAATATTGACATGGGCTGAAATGATTTTATTTTCTGGTCTCCCCCCCCCCCCAATATAAACGAGAGTTGGTTTTGCACAAGAAAATGTTAAAAAAAAAAAAAAAGCATGGAGCGACGAGCAAGATAAAAGGGCAACGACTGGAGCAGACAAGTTACATCTGGCAAGCCTGAGTAAACAGGCCGAGGACCTGGATCGAGTGATCAGATGCGTCCTGGAAGGAGATTGTGGCTGCCAAGAGGAGGACAATTTTCCCACCATTGTGAGCGAATCAGGAAACGAACAGTTCCGGAGCACCGAGACAATAAATGGACAAAGGATGTCAAGTTTTCCTCCTTATGTGTAGCTGGAACCTCATTCATAATTTGAACCAAGTTCAGAGAAGGGAGAACTGAACCACAAATGGTGACATGGCATGTTGGGTATAAATAAATATTCGAGAGAAAATACGTTGGAAAAAAATGGTTAGAACCATGTATAAGAAAGAATATTCAATGAATAGCATATCAAAAATAGATTAATTTTTTTTTTAATAGCAGGAACAGGTTTTATTATGAAATGAACATCGCTTAACACTGAACTAAGTTTAACCTATGCTCAACTGTCGTTCAAAATTGAACCAGTTCATAATTTGATTTAGGTCAAGATAAATTGAAAAAAAAACGGCAATTTTTTAGTTTAACTCGTTTCAGTACTGAACTGAGTTCAAACCAAGTTTAAGCAACATTTACTGAAAATTTGTTTTATGTAAATAATCAATAGTCTTTAAATATATCTTGTTTTAAATAAGGAAGGTTATTTTTTCTTAATCTCATAAATGAATTTTAATTAGAATATATAATAATTTTATGTAATGTGATGAGCGATCACAGAAATTGTTGTAAAAAGGCTAATGATTAATAAGATGAGCAAGGCTTTTTTTTTTTTGTTAAAATGCAGTAATACCTTCATAAGAATAAGCATAAGCTTGATTAATTTTCCTGACTTTGCGTGTCGACGATACCTGATCTGTCAGTTCAAAATTGGATGTTAAACACTCTTCTGTAAAATCCTGATCTAAAACACATACGACTTGCCGCTGATTTTTTGCCTTTCAACCGTTTTCTAGCTTTGGCAAATTTCTAACGCTTGTACGCTTTAGTCGGAAAAAGCATGTTAAAGCTTGCTTATATCCTAAGATTGTTAAAATTTGCGTTTAGTTATCTACACGTTTATTTACAGCAGTTAGAGTGGACATTTCCCTTCCTATTTCGATTTTTCTGTTATTAACAAACTTCTTACCGCTGATTTGAAGACTGCCGATATCTGGGGTAACTGTAAGTGCACGTCTTACATCACCGACTGCACCAAGAAGCTAAACAAATTTAATTTAAAATGAATAGTATTCATCCTCTAAACTAACACAAGTTCTTTAATTGGGAGCTTGAAGTATTTCATATATTTACAAACTGAAAATTAGCAGAAGAAAAGATCTTTGAAATTCAATTTTAATACATTAGAGAAAAAACATTACAAAAAAATGCTGTTGTCCATGCAAAACACAGAATATACTGTAAAGCAGATTTTTTAAATAATTAATACAAATTTACAAAATGAAATGAACTTACAGCTCTGTTAGCTTCTCTCCACCTGGAGACTGCAGCATGGTCGTGTGGGTTAACTGCAACAGATTTCGCTTCCTGCACCATCCTCGTTACACCTAGAAAAAAAAAAGTTTAATTTTATTTTAACTATAATAATAATTCACTAGTTTTCGTGGTCCGCTTGACCAATTAATAACTTTCAATTAATTACGGTTTTTTAGTTGAGATAAAAAAGTCAGTGTCACGAGCGGGATTCGAACCCACAAACTTCGGCTAGATACGCCGCTGCTTTACCACGACTTCGATCAACTTGGCCACTAACTTCCCATCTCAACCCCACCTTTTGAATTTTCCCTACTTTTTGCCATTTTTCAAATGTCGTGTAATCTATTTGATTCTCGGCGACAAATGAAAGAGCCACAGAGAGCTTTAGTGAAGATACACTTCATTTAACTTATTAACTAGTTTTCATGGTCCGCTTGACCAATTTCAATTAATTAAGGTTTTTTAGTTGAGATAAAAAAGTCAGTGACATGAGCAGGATTGAAAAATGGCAAAAAAGAGGGAAAATTCAAAAGGTGGGGTTGAGATGGGAAGTTGGTGTTCGAGTGGATCGAGGTCACGACAGCTCAAGTGGTAGAGCAGTGGCGTATCTAGCCGAAGATCGTGGGTTCGAATCCCGCTCGTGACACTGAGTTTTTTTAACTCAACTAAAAAACCTTAATTAATTGAAAATATAATAATAATGATTACTTACAGTTTTGGAGATAATCAGCAGCTTTGTTAACAGCGGCGATGAAAATGGGATCTTCCGAGTTTTCAGCCTCTTGTTTAGCGACTTGAAGAACTCTATTTGCAAATCGTGCAATGGCAGTGGTGTGCTCTACCATCTTCTCTGCATCAGCATTTGCGATCGCGTCTTCACACAGTACAGTATGTTTTTGCATGTGCTCTTCTGAAATTTTACAAAAGTGCGCCGAGTTTATAGCCTCGTCGCACAGGTGTCTTATTTTCGCAACGCTGTCTGCATATTGTTTACGCAGGTTTTCAAAATGCTCCTCGGCCGCTTTCGATTCGCTGTAGGTGAGCCTTATTCTACCAGCATTTACCAACTGCGGTGTCAATGATTCTACCCGGCCAGCTGCAGAGACTAACGCCTCGCTCAGCTTCTTATTACCACCGGTACCACCGGCTGCTACCAGCCGACCAGTACGGCCAGCACATTTCGACCAAGAACTCAACCAAGCACCTTTATCATTGAGGTTAGTATCTCTTCCTTGCACACCTATAAAAATAATTGAATAAAAAAAACTAAAACAACACAGATTTTATTTATTTTACCTTCGGGAACATGAACAGCTTCGTTGAATTGTTTTAATGGCGTGTTTATATCAGCAAAATCCTCAACAACACGGTTGACAACTGCATTCTGAATGCTTTCTTTCAATTCGTGCAATTTTTCAGAGAGATTTCTGCAGAGGGGAAAAAAATTGTGTTCAAACTCTTTGAGATGTATACGGTTGTCAGCTTTACCTTGCGACCTGCTGTGCTTGTGGAGAATTGCCCATTCCGCGCCTGCACAAATCGCTCAGCTGCCTAGAAAGTCGGTCGACCTGTTCGCAAAGAGCTATCATCTCAGCCTTGTGCACACCTTGCAACCCCTCAGCAACCTAGTTACACACAAAATATTTTATTGTTAACTAATACAAAACTTAAACATATATTATTTTCCTAATAAGATATAGAAAATTTACTAAACATATAATATATACAAGACGTATTTTTGGTATAAAGTATATTCTTCTGTTTCAAAAGCAAAGTAAGGAAAGGATGAATCATGCATGGCCTTGTTTGAATGAAATTCTAAATAAACCACTGGTGCTTTTTTTGGTGCCTCAGATCATTCTCCAGCTATGCTTTTTGAATTTTCTTCATTTTAATTGCTGAACTTTTACTAACCTTTTTGTCATTCTAAATTTCCAAGGAAAGCGAAAAAATGAGATGACGGCATGATTTAGAAATGCGTTAAAAAAAAAAACTGTGAATGCATGTCATGATTAATATGGAATATAAGATAAATAGACAAAAATTGTTTGATGAATTGCTACAAATATTTACGAGGGTGTATCAAATATAAACAGGACTAATTTTATTAAATGTCAGATGGGTCGTAGACCTGAAAGGGGTTGATGGGCAAGTAGATAGTACCTAGGGACAACTCTCCTAGGTCCCTTTAATATCCATAGAAACCATGAGAAAGAAGTGTGCTTTATTACCAGATTATTATCAAATTTCACCAAGGAAGGGGTGAATCTGATCAAAAAAGCATAGTATATAATACGCTGTCAAGAACCTGAGCCACCGCCAAAGACGAGTGACCGAGGTCAACATCGAGGTGATTCATGCTATTGTGAATTATTGGATGAAATCGTCATTTCGAAGGAAAAGGAAGAAACAAGCCACAAGTGTCGTTCTTCTGTATGACAATCGCTATTGCCACAAGGCAAAAATTTTATGCAATAGGATGGGAACCCTAAAAGAAAATCCACCTTATAGACCAGATCTTGTCATTTTCATCATTTTAGAAGCACTTGCAGGCCAGTGTTTCGGCATGACAACGAAGTGGAAGCATCTGTTTCTGCTCCAATGACTACGAGAATGTCCCAAGAGTTTTTATGATGATGCAAAAAAAAACTTCCAATCCGATGGGATAAATTAATTTCTCGAGCAGAAGATTGGGTAGAAAAATAATGTTTTTGAAAGTTTAATAAAATAAAGTTAGAATTGTTTTTTGAGTCCCGTTTATATTTGATACACCCTCTTATAAACAGCAGGTATTAATTTTAATTCACTAGTTTTTGTGGTCCGCTTGACCAATTAATATCTTTCAATTAATTAAGAATTTTAGTTGAGATAAAAAAGTCAGTGTCACGAGCGGGATTCGAACCCACGATCTTAGGCTAGATAAGCCCTGCTCTACCACTTGAGCTATCAAGACACTGACTGTTTTATCTCAACGAAAAACATTAATTGAAAGATATTAATTGGTCAAGCGGACTATGAAAACTAGTGAATTTAATAAGTTAAAATGAAGTATACCTTCACTAAAGCTCTCTGTGGCCATTTCATTTGTTGCCGAGAATCAAATAGATTACACGACATTTGAAAAATGGCAAAAAAGAGGGAAAATTCAAAAGGTGGGGTTGAGATGGTAAGTTAGTGTCCGAGTGGATCGAGGTCACGACAGCTCAAGTGGTAGAGCAGCGGCGTATCTAGCCCAAGATCGTGGGTTCGAACCCCGTTCATGACACTGACTTTACTATCTCAACTAAAAACCTTAATTAATTGAAAGATATTATTTTTAATTTTTTCTCTCCCTGTCATTATTTATCTAGAGTTGTGTTCACAACAGAAGAGTTCATATCAACCTAGGGATGCTGGTTTAAGTATTCTGGGACCTTTACATGAGTGAACATGTCACAGCTGAAACCATTGCCATAAATTTGCATGGAGATAATGAATATAAGGAATGATAAGTAACTATTGTGGAACAAAGAAGACAACAAAAAAGTCTGGGGGGTTCATGAAAAAGGGTTCTAAAAAGTCATTTGGAGAAAAAAAATCACAATGCACATTCAATATTTTTGACAGTTTATGCATTTTCTAAGGTCGATTCAGAAAGGAAGAGCTGAATTAAGATAAAATGTAAAGATTGAATTTAGACAAAAGCTAAACTGAAAGAGGAAAGATTTTTTTTAAATTTATAACAGTTGAATAATTAAAATTTACAACTGTTCCATGCTGCATGCTTAATTAAAGAATTCTTTAATAACTTTTTGTAAAATTACATTTGTTTAAATCAAACATATTACCTTCTTTCCTTCGTCTACGATTAGAGCGATGGCCCGATGTCCTAGGCCACTGTCATCCCTCTCTGGATGCTGTAGCCACCTTGTAGCTTGCTCAAGCCGACCCGCTACAGTGTGGGCGATCTGTTCTCCACCGAGACGCTCCATGTTGTTGACAGCCGAGCTGACAACCCTGACTAAATCACCGAGTTTTTCTTGTATACCTCGGCTCACACTTTCAGCCTGAAATATTGTTTCATTTGTAACATTTTTTAAATTATTTTTTGTTTTGTTAAACGCCTGACCTGTGGGGTTGTTCCTTTTCCGTCTTGCCTCAATTCACACAACGCTTCCGTCATTGTGTTAATCTCCGAGCAGAGTCTATTTATGTTATCGCGGTCAGCAGGCATTGCTCTGTCGGCGACTGCATATGAATGTTCCACAATTTGTCTCACTGCTTTCTCGCCGACTCCACCTCTCATGGCAAATGGATCCTGTAAAGTTTTATACTTTAGTGTCCTTAAAAATGATAATATAAATCAAATTATTACTTCAAGGAAATCCTTAGCAGTCTTGAATTTGCTTTGTATTGCGTTGTTAGCTTTCTTCATTACTGTGAGATTGTCAGCGTCCCACTCATCTTCATCGTAAGTCGTCAACTGAAGGACCCTGATTATTTCATGAAGCTCATCGGTCATTCTTGAAGTAAGATAGTTTCTATTTTCAGCTGCTTCTTCTGCACCTTTTCCCTCTAAAGTGTAAAATACAAAAATGATATAGGAAAAGCTCATTAAATAAATTTATCATTTTTTACCTTGGGAGATAATATGGATGAATATTTTCATACTGCAAATAAGGATCGGAGCTAAAGTTTTGACTTGATCCAAGCAGCGTATCAGTATTTCTCTGTGAACTTGATGCGTCAATTCTTTCTCCCTGGCACCGACTTCCCTTGAAACTTTGCTCAAGCAAGGGCTGAGATCTTTGAGAAATTGGACCAAGTCTTCCATCGTCTCGATGACTTCGGCGACGGCCAAGTAGTCAAGCACCTTTTTACATTCCCTGATGATCTTCCTGACTTCGGACTCGTCGAAGCAAAGTAGCAAAGACGAAGTCCCTTGTAAAATGCCCCTAGAACCTTCGATAAGCTTCTTTCTGGCCGGTCCTGAGTACGGATCGGCTTTGAGCATAGCAGAAGCCTCTTCGAGGAGTTTCGATGCCCTCTCGACCCGATCGAGGGCAGAAGGCATATCATGCTTGAGGATTGTATCATCACTGCTGCTAATCGTTTCCCGACCAACCTATACAACATTTACAATTAGTAATTACTTAAATTCACTAATTTTGTGGTCCGCTTGACCAATTAATTAAGGTTTTTAGTTAAGATAAAAAAGGAAGGTAGGTATAAAAATAGGGGGAAACTCAAAAAGTGGGGTTGAGATGGGAAGTTGGTATCCGAGGGGATCAAGGTCACGATAGCTCAAGTGGTAGAGCAGAGGCGTATCAAACCAAAGATCGTGGGTTCGAATCCCACTTGTGCCCATTGACTTTTTTATCTCAACTAAAAACCTTATTTATTAGTAATTACTGTCACCTGTCATTCTCTCTCTCTCTCTCTCTCTCTTTCTCTATCTCTCTAACGATCTCTTTCTCTATCTCCCTAGTTAAATCTTCCCTGTCTCTCTGGCTAAATCTTTCCCTATCTCTCTAGCTATGTCCTTCTCTATCACTAGCTATCTCTTTCTCTATCTCTCTAGCTAAATCTTTCCCAATATTTCTAGCTATATCTTTCTTTATCTTCCTAGCTACATCTTTTCCTATCTCTCTATCTATTTTTTTTATATATCTCTATGTCTTTCTCTATCACTCTCTAACGATCTCTTTCTCTATCTCCCTAGCTAAATCTTTCCATTCACTCTAGCCAAAGCTTTCCCTATCTCTCTAGCTATATCTTTTTCTATCTCTCTAACAATCTCTTTCTCTATCTCCCTAGCTACATCTTTCCCTATCTCTCTAGCTATATCTTTCCTTATCTCTCTAGCTATATCTTTTTCTATCTCTCTAACAATCTCTTTCTCTATCTCCCTAGCTACATCTTTCCCTATCTCTGTAGCTAAATTTTTCCCCATCTCTGTCTCTATCTCTCTAACAATCTCTTTCTCTATCTCCGTAGCTACATCTTTCCCTATCTCTGTAGCTAAATTTTTCCCTATCTCTCTCTTTCTGTCTAGCTATCTCCGTCTCTATCTCTCTAACGATCTCTTTCTCTATCTCCTAGCTATATCTTTCCCTACCTCTCTAGCTAAATTTTTCCTTATCTCTCTAGCTATATCTTTTTCTATCTCTCTAACAAACTGTTTCTCTATCTCCCTAGCTTCATCTTTCCCTATCTCTGTAGCTAAATTTTTCCCCATCTCTGTCTCTATCTCTCTAACGATCTCTTTCTCTATCTCCTAGCTATATCTTTCCCTACCTCTCTAGCTATGTCGTTCTCTATCACTAGCTATCTCTTTCTTTCTAGCTAAATCTTTCCCTATCTTTCTATCTATATCTTTCCCTATCTCTCTAGCTATATCGTTCCTATCACTAGTTACCTCTTTCTCTTTCTCTCTAGCTAAATCTTTCCCTATCTCTCTAGCTATATCGTTCTCTGTCATTAGTTACCTCTTTCTCTTTCTATCACTCACTAATGATCCCTTTCTCTATCTCTTCTCTCTCTCTCTATCTCTAACATCACCCCGCAGAAGGAATTGTAACAATTTATATAATCTTCTGTCCTGTTTCTTGCACCTTCTCAACCTCTGGCATTATCTCTCTTTCTCCCTCCCCACATTTTCCCCCTCCCTCTTTCCATATATCGATCTATCAGATAGGTCATTGGAGATTTAAATTTGCAGTTTTATTAAATAAAATAATGATAATTCATTCTCCCTAATTAATTAAATATAAAACCACTCTCACTCATACTAATGTGCAAGAGGGCTTAACATGCAACTACATATTCAGTCTGCTGATGAGGGGGTCAGAACCACTTGACAATACTTTTTTCATATTATTCACAATTAGAAAACAATGGGCTACACCAGGATTCAAACCCAGAACAGCTAGGGTGGCAAATATGAATCACACGCCCTAACCACCCAGCCACCACGGTTCAATTAATTTTTTTTTGGAATACAATGGGGGGAAGTATTAACAACCTAACAAAAACTAATAGCTTTTAATTTGATGTTAAATCAAAACAGGATTTGATTGAAATTGCTGTAATGATAATAGGTTCGATGAGTATCGAAATAAGACAAATTGAATTTTGATGATAAGAAATGAACAAATATATATTTTTTAAATTAGATATATATTATTAAATATTAAAATAAGCCACACCTGTGAACAAAATTGGCCATTCTAAAAATATAGGGCACTGACCCATGCTATAAATAAACTAATAGTTCCAGGGAAACACTTTGTTGAAGTTGAATTGCAACATTTCCAAACATAGTTGCCAATTCTCTTTAGGGCTAGGCATTTGATGGTTAATTAGAAAAGAGACGAATGGCTGAGATATGCATCACCAATTAACACATCAAAAACTGGGGTGTGCCCTCTGGAAATTCATGCCGTTAAACTGTCCACTGTTTCATTCTCAAAATAAATTTGTGAGCAAGTCTACTTCAAAGATTAAATTATCGCTATCCCCCCCCCCTGTTATTGTAAACACAGTCGATTTGAAATCTTGGGATGTGTCTTAGCAATAATTTGAACCAGTGCCAGAACCGTTCTTTGCCAAAAGTCATAAACTTTAATGAAAAGAAGGCCAAGAGAAAGAGTACATTTATTTTGTTTGGACTTTTAACCCTATGTTGATATGAAAATATTGTTTTAATTAATAAACAATACATTATTAACCATTATTTACCTTTACAAGATTAGTCACTGCTCTTGACACCGCTTGGACGGGCCGTTCCAAATCTGGCATAGCATTTCCATCTTCGGCTTCCTCATGTAAAATAACAAGACGAGAGACCTGTAAAATATTTCTTTATTAATTACATTAATCAAGTGATTTATTGGGAAAATAAAAATACAAGGATGTAGCCTTAAAAGTATAAAAAATACATATTTAACTTAATTACTATTTATGGATCAAAAGGGGGGGTACTTAATTATTATAGTTAATAGTATAACCCAAAAATATTTTTTTCTCTTCTCTAGTAAATGTAACACCTTAAACAAAAAGACATTAGTTAAATTTAGAAAATAAAACCAACAAGAAACAAAACCAAAATGAGAAACAGGAAGCATAAATTGACTGCAGGTATTTGTCACAAGTCTTCTTATAAACTATAGTGCACTATTTTTAATTTCTCTCTAAAAAAATTGTTGATTTGCTAAATTCCATTTGACCTATTTTAAAAATCTACATAATTTAAAAAAATGTTTATGTGAGCTGTAAAAAGATAAGGCACAGCACTGAAGAGATAACATAGGAATGTACTTTTTTTTAAATTAATGCACACTTTACGTTATGACTATAAACACTTACATGTTGTTCTGATGGTATACCTTTACATTTTTTTAACTTTAACAAGGAGGATTCAACAGAATCCAGAATTGAAATCTTGCCACTGGTTTTAAGTTATTATCACAATGATCTACAGAAAGGTTGACTCTAGAGATCGTAACAACAGCAAGAGGGTTGGTTTGGGAAGAATTATCTAAATTACTTTTGAAAGAACAAGCTGGATACTGCAAGAACCGAAGCCGCTTGGGTAATACATTTGTTCTAACCTCGGTATTTAAATACACATGAGACTAAAGAAAAGAGCAGTTTATGCTTTGGGATATCCATCGAGCTTTTGATTCAATTAGTCATGATATTTTATAGCAGAGATTGTAAAAACATTCGTTTGTTAAAGATCCTGTATGATACCTATGTCTCAATGAAGGATGGTGGTTTCAGCAACCCGATGAAAATGACTAGGGGGGTCTTTCAAGGAGAAATTTTGAGCCCTTTTTTATTTATACTATTCCTGGCTGATATTAATTTCTTTTTCATTCAAGGGTAACAAAGGACTAAGTGTCGATCCTCTGTTATCTTTCTGCTTCTATATGCAGACGATTTAATCCTCCTGTCAGATTCTTATGCAGAATCGTAAACTTCGTTCTTTGTTAGAGTATTGAAAGAGTAATTGCCCTGCCAATAATCCAATATATCAAAAATGCACTTAATCAAATTTCAAAGAAAGGGATCTGAAAATTTTTTTCACAGAAGAAATAAATCTGAATATCGAATACATTTAATTTTGTAGGTGTACTATTCGCAGTTATCTTTGTTCCTGGATACAAAACGGAATGCAATCTCCCGTTTTAGAGTGTATGTAGTACTGTCAATAATATAATCGTCAGAACTCGTCTTAAACTTTTCCATGTAACTCCTCTTCTATATCATGATCTGCTGTGGGCACTAAGGCATCTTGGTTTACTGAAACAGGCCCAAATAAACTGATGATGGATACTAAGAAGTGAGTTTTGGTCTCAAGCTCTGCAGCCTTCTGACTTATTCTGCTTTTCTCTTTAAAGAAAGATCATTGACTGTCAGTTCTACAATTCCTTTCCCTTGATTTTCTTTGTATCCCAGGTTATATCTCCACTGAGCGGTTGTTTCAGATTCGAAGATAATCCGGTTGGCTGTTTCTTACTCTTCATTGCATAACCTACAAATGGAGTCATCCTTGAATGTAGATGATTTCTTAGATGCTAGCCAGTATAACTCCTCTGAGTTAGTCCTCCTGTAGCAGGAGTTTGCCAGCCTTGGTGAGGGTTGTTTTAGCGTAAGTTTATTCTCCTTTTGCCTTTTTTGCATCAATTCAGTAATGGACAATTCTGTGTTTGTTTTGTTATTCCAAGAATAGGTTCAGGTTGAAGATCGTCCTCTGATTTCTATTGGAACTTATGTAAATCACAGTTTTCTTTAAGTATGCCCTGGGATGGATATATAAGTTACTAGCTAAGAGCCCAGATAGACTACTTCAATTTTTTTTTTTAATAGAATCTTTATTACCAAAATCAATAAGATACAAAATATATACATGTGTGTATAATAAATAAAATACATAATTCACTATATGACATGGTAATAAACCATCTGCAGATTACTACAAATTTGTTACAACATATCCTAGTAATTCCTCACGACCAAACAGGACCCAGTACAACTGGGTTTTGCAGATAATGAGCTTGTTTTCAGAAATAGGGTGCTGTGACTTGTGGTACCAACTAGACGCAAATGAACTGACCCATGGTATGGGAATAAGGATACTAGGAAGCAGGGTTTGTGCTTCCCAGGCACTGCAGCCTTCTAGCTTATTGTTCTTTCCAAGTTCCTTAGTTCAGTGCAATAAACTCAATCCTTCTTCTTAGAAGTATCAGGTCATTGACTGTCGCTGCTACAATTTCATTCCCTAGATTAAATTAAAATCTCTATTGAGCTGTTGCTTCGCATTCAAACATGATATATGTGGCTGTTTCCTCCTCCTCATTACATAATCTGCAGATGGGGTTATCGTTGTATATATCTCAGATGCCAGTGACCGGTTAGTAGTCCTACCACTCCTCTCAGTTTAGCCCTCTTCAATTGCAGCAGTGATTTTGCCAGTTTTGGTGAAGGTTGTTGACTTACCCATAGTGTTCATCAGAATTTTTATTGTACAGTACACGTAATAAACAGGGTTCCTTGTGAAATAACTAGTCTTTTTCCAAGCCCGTACAGCAAATATAGTCCAAGTTTGTTATATCCAAGCAGATAAACCAGATTGATACAATTTTGCTCCCTGCTGTTTTGCCGAAAAGGAGGAGCTTTCATATATTTCATTTAATTGACTAATTTATATCAGCAAGCCTCATGAACCTACTGAATGGCACATAAACCACTTTATGTAATAAGCTATGCAAATTAGGTCATTGTTACTAACATGTTCTTGCTCATTTTGTTCTTTACCTTAGTTGATTTTGTTTTTTCTGATGGTTGTTGTGCATATTCATATGTTTCTGTATTTGAGTTTTTATTCATACATGTGAACGATTTATTCAGAATGTATAGAGCCTTCCTGAATGTATAGATTTATTATCTTAAGCATGCATATAACAAAAAAAAATTGTTTATGCTTGATATACTTTTTAATGCGACAATCAATGATTTGAATCAAGTGAATGAGGCTGAAACGTCAGAGGTCATTCAAGTGATACACACACAAAAAAAAAATCCATTAGATGCAGGAGTTAATAAAATAAACACAATTGGTTTTTTTACTTTCAATCAGTCCACAAGTTTCTATTCAAACTCACTACAATGAATTGAGCCAAGCACAATGATTTTTTTTATAACAAAACATTTTTATAATTCAAAGATTAAACAATCATTGCATTGTTAAATTGACATTTTTTAAAATATTTTCAGGGTTCTGGAATATTTTATGAGATAATTTTATTGCGTAATTAAGTAAAAATGTAATAATGTTATCTTTTTAAAAAGGTCAATTGGGGTTTAACAGTTATCAACGTCCTTTACGGATCTCTTTTAAAATAGGCAGATATTATTTTTAAACATGCTTTACTTGGACCAGGTTGGAAAGTTAGTCTGGATCTCCATCGAGTTTAAAAGGGAATGTGTATAAATAAATATTTTCTTTCCTAACTTATTCCCTAAGTTTTCAACAAATACAACTTAGGTCGGTTCGATAGTAAAAAGTGGAAATTTGCTCCCCTGGAACAGCTCTTGTTTGTATTTGTTTACAAAAGGCCAGATGGTACTGTTTACTTAAAAGAGGTGGCGTTTGATAGGCGTACAGCGTACAACACGCCTCGATACTTCAGAGGTAAAATTGGAGGAAATTCAACGCTACTTTTTAACTAATCACTTGTTATAAAGATTCATTGATTACATTTCCAAGCAGTGTTTTCTTTTTTTTTATTGATAAATAAATTATAAGTTGAACAAAAACAAAATGCCTTTAGCTGCAGAAAATTGAGATCTTTAGCATTTACGTTGATTGACCCATTTCTTTAAATTATTTCTGACAAGATGATCGTTTGTGTTTATCACAATTTATTTAACCTGATATTCAGCAATAAAATTTTTTACAATCATTTATAATATTTTTTAATAAACACTGCTTAAACTATTAAACACGAAGTGAAAATTTCTTGTGAATGATTGTTTGTTTCGTTATAACGGTTGTGGTTGGACGTTTTTATTTATGTTTTTTGCTATCAGACTTTACAGTCGTGAGAGATAAAATTAGGACATAATCTTTAAAGACCTCAGATCAGTCAATAGCTGCAAAGCGATAAAAAGATTGTGCAGCTGCTAATCCGTTTTATTTTTAAATGAAAAACTCCCGCCTTGAAATATTTACACAATGACGTATTTTTTTCCATCGAGCCTTTAAAAAATCGACAATTATGCTGAGTCATCTTTCTTCGTGGCCCTCGTACAACTTGCAAGTGGTGCATTTTGTTCATGAGTTGATTCAATGCTTCCTAACGAGGGAACCTCACACTTTTACTCCTTACTAAAATATGTGATAAGCTTGTATGACTAAACGTTGTCGAACATGTCGCGGACTTTTCCCTTTGACCACTTCTTTTTGGCTTTTCCTCCAGACCCTCTTCCTTCTTTTTTGCAATTTTAGCACTGGGCTTCAACCAAACACCCTTGATGTCTTTTTGATATAATAAATTTATTGGTTATTCTGGATTAATTTTCACACTAATATTGGATCCTGTAAATATTGTTCAAATTAAAAAATAATATTTTTCAGCAGTTTGATTTTTGATAGTTCCTGATCTTGTATTTTGGAAGAGACCATCTTGTTACAAATTAATTTACAATTTGATATTATATGTTAAATTATAGGTTGATTATAAATTAGCATATTTCATATTGATTGTTGATTATATATTAGCATATTTGATATGTACTATAAAAAACCAAAGGTTGTACAATAATTTGTTTATAATTTGATC